TGGGGTGGGGGCAGGGGGTGTCTGAAATCTTAAAGACCACAGCTGGGGAGGAAAGGTGAACCAGAGATGGGCAGCGACTTTCCCAGGGCTGCACAGTCTATTAACTGCTGCAGATGTGGCCTGATATCCTGCTATGGCTTTTGCTTTCTTTTCAGTACCAGCTTGGAGTTCGGCCCAGAGGCGTTGGACAACTGCTGTCGATTTTACAATCGCACCATCTGCACATAGCTGGAACTGAACATCTTCCTACCCTCAGGGGTCATTCATCCCAGAAAGTGTCTGTCCTCAGGAGGCCGTGGGACTCATCACTTCTTCCACAATTCTACAATTGGGAAAGGGTGCTACGGGGAATGGAGACATCAGTAAATGAAAACACCTCCCACCCCTGGTCACATCACTGCTCCCCCATGTCCTGCCTCTTAACGTGTGAGTTCCCAGCATCTCTTCTGCTCCCTTGCCCTCTGCCAGTTAACCTTCTGGTCCCCTCTACTCCTCTTTCCTTGGGATCCTCATGTGCACCTGTCCAAAGACTCCTTCCTGCTCCCTCCCAAGCATCACACTTGTTGGCCTCACCCCCTCCAGAAGCTGCCTCGAGAGACACCCACCTTCACTCAGCCCCCCCAGAATGCTTTCCAAACTGGTGTCCTGCAGGACAACGTCTCAGTAGGTGTGATGTTCTGAGAGGCCTATGACCCACTAAGTTTGGAACACTGAGCTAAATAAAGTTAGACAGGGTTTGCTTGTTATGGTTTTTCGATGGGGCCTCATGCAGCTCGTTCTGGCCTTGAGCTCATTCTGTAGCTGGGGATGACTCCAGATCCTCTTGCTGTCACCTTCTGAGAGCTGGTTCTTTCCTTCTACCTTTATATGGACTCTGAGGATCAAACTGGAGTCTTGTCTTCTGGCTTGCATGGCAAATTCTTTACTTGAGGAGCCATCTGCCAGCTCAAGATATTTCTTTGTTTTGTTGTTTGTTTGTGACAGGGTATTACTATGTAGCCCTGGCTGTCCTGGGATTCACTGTATAGACCAGGCTGGCCTCGAACTCAGAGTTCCTCCTGCCTCTGTCTCCTGAGTGCTGGGGTTAATGAGGACATGCACCACCACTCCCAGCTCCAGGAACTTTTCTTGATAAAAGTATCTTTTTGAAGGTGTCATAGAATACAGTTGGGTAAATATCTCAGAGTCGCATTGCTTTATTTCCTGATTGTGACACCAGCAAATGTTTGCACAGAACTGGGATCAGGTATGATTCTCAGTGCTTTGTAGGTTTTCTTTCAGTCCTCCCAACAATCCTGTGAGGTTGGCATGGTTGTTATCCCTAGGTGAGGATCAGAGCCCCAGAGAGGTTAAGTAACTTGTCCAATTAAACATAGCTAGGAAAAAGAAAAGACAGGCTTTGAGCCCAGGGCATTAAAAAGTTTTGTTATCAGTGATACACTAGCCAGCCAGTGTCTGAGGAACTTCCTGCCTCTCTCCTCATGCCATGCCCTGAGCTCCATTAGGTCAGGTTTTGATATTTGTTTCCAAATATCTCCAAATCCCTGTGCTGATGCAAACTAGAGTCACATGGGAAGAGGGAACCTCAACTGAGAACTCACCTCCACTGGCTGGTGGGCAAGTCTGTGGATCATTCTCTTGATTGTTGGTTGGGAGGGCCCAGTCCACTGTGGGCGGTTCCACCCCCAGGCAGGGGGCCATGCATTGTATAGGAAAGTAATCTGAGGAAGATGTAGAGAACAAGCCAGTAAGCGGTGTTCCTCTGTGGTCTCTGCTCCATCTCCTGCCTCCAGCTTCCCTAGGTAATGGCCTGTGCTTGAGATATGTAAACCAAATAAACTCTTTCCTTTCAAGCTGGTTTTGGTCAGCTTTATCACAGCAACAAAAGGATAGTGAAGAAATTGGTACCAGAGAGTAGGGTTTTGTTGGTTTTGGAGAGGATTGTGCATGCCCTTGTAACTTCAGGCTGGAAAAACTGTTGAGTGCTTGGAACTTATTGGGCTGCTCTCTGGGAACTTGGAAAACAATAGTGTTGAGAGAAATGCAGATGGTGGAGACCTGGCTTATGAAGTTTCAGAGTCCCTCAAAGACTATCAAGGCCATTTGTATGATAGTTTGCATTAAAAGTTCATGGAAGTGAAACTTTTAGTTTACTGGGACAATCAATGCTGATGATCTGGCATGACCAATCTGCTGTGATTAACATAAAGCCAGAATCACTGAGGCAAAATCTTCTGGGAAGTGTTTCCTCAAGATCAGCATGCCGAAACTGTGGCCTATTGGAGTGCCAAGGTGGTACGTCAAGCCGGCAGCAGAATATGGCAATGAGAAAAAGTCTCACACATCATACTGATTTTGGTTTTGTGGTTTTTCGAGACAGGGTTTCTCTGTATTGTTTTGGAGGCTGTCCTGGGGCTCGATCTGTTGACCAGGCTGGCCTCAAACTCACAGAGATCCACCTGCCTTTGCCTCCTGAGTGCTGGGATTAAAGGCCTGAGTCACCAACACCCAGCCATGCTGATTTTGAAGGCATGAAGGGGTCATGGAGAGCAACAAGAAGTCCATGAGGTTTGGAGCCAGTGGAACTAGGAGGGGCCATTGGTGAAGGTGCAGCCTCGTTACAGTGGCAGCCCTAGGACTGAGGGGTCATGGAGAGAAACTGAAGCACAGCACCATGTGTGAGAGTCAGAGTTCCTGAAGAGACCAGGGGAGAACACTGGTATAGGTGCAGCCTCAGTTGCAGTGGAGACCCCAGCATATGGGAGATGCCAGGACTGTGGGATGACCACCAAGGACAGCAGCAGTGGTGGAGTGGAGCTGGCCTGTGCCTATGAGTCTAGCTGTGCATGTTAGAAATGGCAGAGCTGGGGAAATGGGACTGCCCAAGCCCTTTGGAGCGCAGAAGATCATGAGTGAGTCCCAAATGTCAGAGATTGAGCTTTGTATATTGTTGGGTTTTGGGTTTACTTTGATCTGATTATAATTGTGCACTGGTTCTTCCCTTTTGGAATAAGAAAATGTGTAATTAGTTTGGATTTTATAGGAGCCCACAGTTAAGGGACTTTGAGTATTTAAATTTATTTATTTTTGTTGTATATGTGTATAAGATGTATGTTTGTGGGCACATAAGCATATATATTTCTGTGTGTGTGTGTGTGTGTGTGTGTGTGTGTGTGTGTGTGTGTGTGTGCCAACAGACAACCTTGTTCAGTCTGTTTTCAGGGATTGAACCCAGATCATTAGACTTACATGCCAAGCTCTTTACCCACTGAGCCATTTTACTGGTTCTGATGTTTGGTATTTTTAAATAACTTATTTTTATCTTATGTGTACAAGTGTTTATGTGCATGTATTTATGTGTACTATGACTGTGTCTGGTACCCTCAGAGGTCAGAAGGGGGTGTTGGATCCTCTGGAACTGGAGTTAGAGACAGCTGTGGATGCTAGGAACCCGGGTCCTCTGAATGTGCAGTAAATACTTTCAACCTCTGAGCCATCTCTCCAGCCCTGACTTTGAGTATTTTAAAGAGATAGTGAACATTTTTTTAAAGATTTTATTTATTTATTTATTTATTTATTTATTTATTTATTTATTTATTATGTATACAACATTATTGTGCTTCCTTGTATATTTCCACACCCGAAGAGGGCACCAGATCTCATTACGGATGGTTGTGAGCCACCATGTGGTTGCTGGGAATTGAACTCAGGACCTCTGGAGGAACAACTGGTGCTCTTAACCTTTGAGCCATCTCTCCAGCCCGAGATAATGAACTTTTAAGTGATGGAATTTGTAAAGACTGTGGGACTTTTATTATTTATTTATTTATTTATTTATTATTTGTTTTTTTTGAGATAGGTTTTCTCTGTGTAACTGTCCTGGTTGTCCTGGAACTCACAGAGATCCGAGTGCCTCTGCCTCCTGAGTGCAGGCATTAAAGGCGTGTGCCACCTCTGCCCAGCAAGACTGTAGGACTTTTAAAAGTTGGGCCTTAGTTTATATTTTGATTTTGGAAACAAAAAACTTAAAGGTTATGGCTTAATAGTGATGTATTTATGTGTCAGGTTGACAAGGATCATTGGCACTCATTGGTCTTTGTTGACTTGACACAAATTAGAGAGAACCTTAACTGAGGAGTTATCATCATTAGATTAGTCGTTGGGAATGTTTAAAGGCATTTTCTTGATTGCTAATTGATATGGAAGGGCTAAGCCCACTGTGGGCAGCACCATCCCTAGGCAGGTGGTCTTGGGTTGTATAAAAACACAAAATAAACGAGCCAACAAGTGGGATTCCTCTATGGCCTTTGCTATAGCTCCTGCCTAAACCTTTTCCTCCCCAAGTTTGTTTTGGCCAGTGTCTTATCACAGCAGGAAAAGCAAACTAGGATACCTGCCTTTGCTTCTGGTGCACCCTCCCCTGTCTCTCCTGCCCAGGCTCCTATCTCAATACTCATCTTCCCCAGTAGCTTTGGCTTCAAGGACCTCCATGCGCCTGCTTCTTCACCCCTTACCTGCCACCTCAAGCTTCCTTCCAGCACTTGCCTGCAACACAGGGAATGTGGAGCCCCGTGTGGCAGGTATTGGCTCTACCACAAGGAGTGGGCTCCTGCTGTCTCCACCATGGATTTTTGTTCCAAGGGCACCTTCCTTGCCCTGGAGACCCCATAGCAGACCTGAGTCCCAGTCCTCTGGGCCCTTAACTCCTAAACCCCCCTCCCACTGCCCTTGAGCTATTAGCAGGACACTGCTGAAGTTGTATGCACAGCTGTCTTCGAAGGTCAAACCTCCACCCCATCCTCACTATCTGTTGGGTCTAACTGTCCTTGTCCTGATGTTCTGGACTCGCTGCCTACTCACTACATGGCCAGTGATGTTCCTGGGAAAATGGCAACTTCTTGAACATGGGCATCACAGTATTCTGTTTTTCTCCCAAAGTACCTAGCATGGTGCTGGACTTATGTTTGTGGAAATGGATCACAACTTCTCTGAGAGTCCCCTGTGGAGACAACACTGCTGATTTGATCTAAACCTGGGCACAGGATTCAGGGCTCTGTTGTCACAGAGCACTGGACTTTTGTGTCCTCTCTCTCTCTCTCTCTCTCTCTCTCTCTCTCTCTCTCTCTGATTTATTTATTATGTATACAGTGTTCCGTCTGCATGTATCCCTACAGGCCAGAAGAGGGCACCACATCTTAGAGATGTTAGTTGTGAGACATCAAATGGTTGCTGGGAATTGAACTCAGGACCCCTGGAGGAACAATCAGTGCTCTTAACCTCTGAGCCATCTCTCCAGCCCAACTTTTGTCATCTCTTAACTCCTACCATTCTCATCATCTACATCCACAGAAGTTGGGTGTCTCTTGAGGATGGGGCCACACATATGTATTGCTTAGGAGAGTCGTGGTTTCTGGCACCCAGTGTCCGTGTTTCACTGCATTCTAGGCAAAAGCTTCTAGGTTGACTATGATGGCCCATGTCTATATTACCAGCATTTGTGAGGGGGGAGCAGGAGGATCAGGATTTCAAGAATATCCATGAATTCAGGTATACAAAGAGTTAAATGCCAGCCTGGGCTACACAAGTTCCTATCTCAAAAAAAAAAAAAAAACCCAAACAAACAACAACAACAAACAGAAGCAAAATAACAGCAACAAAACCAAAAGAAAAACAGAGAACATCTTTAAGCCAGGTTGGCACAGGTACCTCTGCCTGTTCCTCCAACAGCCACGACAGGTACTGCTAATTGATCTCAGCGCTTCTCTCACCATATCCAGAAAGCTTACTGCTATAAGAGCCTACCACCAAGTAAGTCAAGGTTTCTTTTCATGTTTACCTCAGTGCAAAAACAAAACAACTAAAACTTGCCATCAAGGATATGGGTTATGGCAAAGAATCTAGAAATTGAAGGTGGTATAAAGAGGGTTTCCTGCAAAAGACGGGGTCTATGTAGGTGATCTGTTTATGCCACACCAGTGAATTGTGTGTCCTACAGATTTATATGTTGACATTGTAACCTCTGAGGTGACATCATGAGATGGGGCCTTAGGAGGTGATAAAGTCATAAGGGTGGAGCCCTTATAAAAGAGATTCTCCAATGTTGTGGGATTAGGATCAGAAGTTACCATTCAGTCAGTCAGAATGGAGTTCTCATGAGAGTTCAGCCATGCTGGCATCTTCTGG